TGGGAATACTTATGTTTTTACTGTGATATATAGCTGAATGAATAATTCTTTCCCACCTGTATGCTGCTTCTTGCAGTGGTTATATTTTCTGAGTACATCTAAAAAGAACTCATTGCTAAGGGGCAATTATGTCTGTGATTAAAACCTAGGAAAGCAAAAGCAGGGAAAAGCAAAAGCTCATAGTTAATACATATATTCCTCTAGTGGTTTTGTTTGAGTAATTAAATGGGACATAATTGCTGTATAGTGAAGTATCCATTCTGTTTGTTGCTTGTTAAGTATTATTCCTGAAGATAACTGTTGCTTCATCTAAATTAGGATCACATAAAATTCATAGCAGTGGAGCCTGTGACTGGCACTTGTATGTCTTCATAAATAATGATTCCTGTGGATCAGTGCAAAAATGGATTCTCAAAAATCAGGAGAATAAGTGGTTCCCTCTAATACAATTAAGATCTTGCTTCCTGTAAGAGGAGCAAGACCTTTCCTGTTTTTCACATCACAAGCTTTTCTCAGCCTGACAGCATTTAAGAGCTTGACTTGTGTCAGTGACACCAAAGACCAGGCTCAGTTTTGATGGATGCGGTGGCTCTGAGCTTGTTAGCAGTTCCTTGTCCTAGGTCACTGTGAGAGGATGGAATATTTAAATGAGTTTTCACCTGAGTTTTCCATGATGTTAGTTCTTTCATCCCCAATACAATTTATCCTTTGCTTGATCTTAAGTTTTAAAAACTTGTGTGGATGCTTAAGGATCACCGAAAGAAGGGACTGTCAAGCAGCTCCACCTGTGGATGAAACTCTTGACTAATCTTAGTATAGAAGCAGAGCTGGAGATGTGACTGCATCACAATAACACTTTCTGCAATCTGCAAGGACAGAAGCTCATCAGCTAAGCTTTTATTGGACCGAGCTCCATCTTGAAACACATTTCCTAGCACTTAATGCTGGAAAGTAGAGAAAACATAGAAAGGAAGAGAAAACAAGCTGTAGATTCAGGTATTGTTGTCAAATAAAGATCAGAGGCAAGGATTAATTACTTCTGTTCCTGTAGAGACATGCAGGCAAGCTAATCATCTAGAAATAGGCTCCTGCAGGTCTTGAGGTTACCACAAATCTTTCCAATTCTTTGGGTTTGTTTTCCTCTTCTAGTAAGAAAGGTGAGAACAAGTGGATTTGTGTGGGAGGAACTTCCTCCAGCCTATTGTTGCACTCTTCCATGGGAACTAGGCTGGAGTACAGCTCACTCCCCTGTTACTAGACAGCCTGATGGAAATCTTGAAGCTATTTAGGAACAGCTATAAAGAAATTTTAAGTGTTTGTGGGCAGAAAAGAGGAAAGAGCATGGATAGAAGTGCCTACAAAATGTATTTTTATCTAATATGGGGGCTGTATGTCCAAGTGTTAAAAGCATTAAATGCTCTGGTGTACTGCACTAATTGCTGTGGTATGCTCTGCCTGATTGACTTCTTGTGGAATGGAGAGTGGAGGTGAGGAGGGGATGATAGATAGTAGATGTGAGAGGGCAGCCCATGGTTCCTTGTAACTTATGGATCTAAAACTCTTCTTGAGGTTGAGGTACTGGTCAAAGCATCATGAAACTAAAGGAGCAATGGAGTTTTTGGGATCTTGCCACCAAAAGGGAAAGTGAGTCAAATGTTCACAATTGGGATTAAATACTTTTCAGACTATAGATTTATCTCAGTGGGAAAAACCCCAAATCCTTTGGTTTTTACCCTTGGCATCACTTCTAACCCCAGGACACTTCCATTCCAAACTTCATCCTTCAGAATGTAGCTCAGAGACTGGCCTCTTTTCAGAAAGCTTAGAAGCATGGACCTCAAAACAGGAGATGATCCCTTTGCTGTTTCTTACTCTCCAAATGTTCATCCCTTAAGGACCAGGGATTAAACACTTTCTCTTTTTTGGTTAGATAATATACTATAAAATTGTATTGAGTAGTAGCTTGTGATCTCAAAAAAGCTTACACTTTTAACAGTAGTGTTCATAAATCAAACTGAAATGATGTGGCAGGAGGTAGTAGTCAAGATCGCTTTTTAGTGGAGCAGAAAAGCATGTTGGAAAGAAATCTGTGCAGGCAGGTCAGAGGAGGGGAGAAGAAAATTTAAAAAATTGAGACCATTGTTAAATAATTAAAGAAAAAGGACAAAGAAAATGGGATTAGAATTCTACACACTTTCTCCTGAGCTTTTGTCACTCAAAAATGTTTCATCAGGAAATTGTAAGTACATATGTACTTTTATCTGCAATGAATAATTGCATGGCCATTCTTTAGCATTTGTAGTACAACGCTAACCTCTTGTGAAGCTCAGCATTCACTCTATCAGTATTTCATAGTCTGGAGAGCTTAGTGGAACTGCGCTATGCATGGCTTCCTCACCATTCACAATGAGAGAAATCCTATCACAGCTACATTAGTTGTGGCAGTGTGTAACACTTAAAAGGGGAAAAAAAAAAGTGCACTTTAAACACTTTGAATGCAATCTCACAGCTAAAAACAGACCCGTATTGCATATGAGCCTACTAACTTGCTAATATGGTTCAAAATTTGGAACTTTGGGGTTTAAAATCTTAACTCAAAATTGATCAAAATTAGCTAGAACAAGGACAGGTGATAACCTAGGAGTAGGTCCACGCTTTCTTAAGGAACTTGCTTAGTCCTGACCTGCTTGCTTTCCTGTAGTGATTTAACTTTTGAAGTGGTTTCCATGTACTGTGTATTGAAGCAAGAGTATGAAGGGCCCACTCTTGGTGTGCTTGAAAGTCCTAGAAGTCATCCTATCCAGTAATGATACAACTTTATCTTGTGTCTTTCCCCAGGAGTCTCTGGACAATGATATTGCCATATATTCCTTGAAGGTTTTGTCAGATGGGATGGGAATTAGCATTCTTTACCCTCTTTTTGAACATTTATACTATTAAAAATAGTGTACCATGGAGAGAGTGTGCTTTTGCTTCAAAATTTTGCACTGGAAGTTAGTTTAAAAGAAATCCTTCACAAGTGAGGAAAAAGTATCTTTGAAAACTGACTGTAGGCTTGTTCAGTGACTTGGAGACCACAGTAGACAGATATGGGACCAGATGCACAAGGAGCTATAAGATAATATATATATGAAGACATATTTATTAAAGAAAGACATTAAAAGTCATTTTGTGTAGACAGAAAATCCAGTTTAACTGGCCTAAACAATACACTGAAACTTGTCTAACTGAATTACTACTACTTCTAATAAGAGATCAAACAAAAACACTTGAAAATCAGTTTAAGGCAAAGCTTTGGGTGAGTAGGGGAGGGACTGATAAAGTACTTGAATGATGTTGAAATAAGATTTAAAAGGGAAAAAAAAATCATGACACAGGGACGTTGTATGAAATCCTTGAGGGTAGTGCTGTTCATTGCAACACTCATAGGATAGGAGTACATTGCCTTTGTTTAGTCTTTCATCCAGAAAAGCAGGACACCAACGCATAAATGAGCTGTGCGTACAAATGAATCTATTTTTTATTTTTTTATATATATATAGCTTTACCAATTATTGATGTGCAGCCACAGGCAGAGAAGAGTATGATAGGACTTCTGCTTGGCAGTTATGAAAGACTATGTGAACTATGGAAGATTAAATGTAAACTGCAACTGAATGTGCAGGGACACAAAGTCTACTCAAATAGACTTCAGAGATTAGTGGGTAAACCGAGCTCTGTGAGGCCACTCTTGTTTTGTTCAAATCTCCCATGGGTGCTGCTTGGGAGTATGCAAGCAAAATAACTTTGGGATCTTTTGGATCACTTTTGGTTAAAGAGAAAACCAGCTCTGTCTGGTGCCCATTTCTGCAGTGGAGATTGTATGATGGTTGGAATAGTCTATCTTGTTGTGCAAATTTAAGTAGGCATATAAGCGTTTCATTTTGCCTGTGAATGCGTCCCAGGCAGAGTTAGATTGTCAATATGAATTCTCTATGATAAGCTTTATAACAAACTTTCATCTAATTTGAACAGTGGGGGGAAAAAAAAGCCTGAGTAGGAAAAACACATGCTATTGGGATAAAACAGCTGTGCATATAAGTATTACTAGCTTTCTCAAGAGAACTTGAGCAGTCCTACAGAGTTGCATCAGTTCTGAGTTATTTGCTATATATTAAACTGTTCTGAGAACACAAGAGTTTGTGTTAATGTGAAAGTGCAGAGGGCTCCATTCTGCTGTTTCAACAGGTGGGATGCTAATATACCTCTGCTGTCGTTACCAAAGTAACTCATTTAGAAGAAAAGAAAATCATTTCACCTTGATGCCACTTAAGGCCTGGAGAACCCTAGGGCAGGGTGGTGGTCAAAGCTTGGGCAGGATGAAGCACAAGAGTAAGCACTTGCATCTATAAAACAATTTCCAAGCCAATGCATTGATGGAGTGGCTCTTTCTAAGGAAAATTAATTTGTATATGACTGATAAATAACTTTCTAACCTGGCTGAACAGTGAGTGATCAGACTGTGCACAAAAAGCTATAGCAAATACTTGGTACAAAGCTGATAAGCTGCCACAGCTGCTTGTAAACCTGCTGAGTATTTTTTCACTGAAGACTTTTTGCCACCTTTGTAGTACTTCCTCCTTCTTTGGTCTAAAATTAGAGCCCAGGCTAGAAGGGGAGCAGGGAGGAAATCAATACAGTTTGCTGACAGTAACTAGAGTTGCTTGGTTTTTTGAGTCAACTAAGAACTGGTTTCAGATGTTCTTGGCCTCCTCCCACCTTTTATAATCGATGAGATAACGGTGGAATTACATCTCCAGCTTTGTAGCACAAAGGATTAATGTACATTTTAAACAGTACATAAAGCTGTCAGAGTGCAGTATAAGCTCAAGTTTGTCTTTGACCTATGGGCTCTCAAGTAGCTAGGGAACAGTTGGACTGAGACATAAGCAGAACTGCGTAGAGAGCTGGTAGCTGAGTGGTAAATTCTGTGTCACTGATTGAATACTTTGTCTTTGCAGGACGGGTTTCCTTTTTCACCTCTGGATCGGAGAACCTTCATCGGGTGGAAAAGGTTCACTGGGGCACTCGCTATGCCATCACCATTTCCTTCACCTGCAACCCAGACCATGGCATTGGGGATCCAGTTTTGATGTAATTCCTCCAGGGATGGAACATGAGGTCAAATGGAATGAGAGAAGCCCTGCAAGAGGAGAGGAAAGAGGGAGATAACATCTCTTGTAACTTCACATTCAATTAGAATTTCCCAGCTGTATTAATATATTGTAATACATTTTGTTTTCACATGTCCTTTCCCATAAATGTTGCAAACAGTGCCTTAAAGACTACCTTAAATTTGGTGTATTCCAAAAATGGTTTGTCTTAATGTCCTAAAGGGATAGGCTACAAAGAAGAGTTCTGGAGTGGGCTCTTGTGTGTTTTTGTTTTGTGGTGGTTTGGTTTTTTTAAATTCTCCAGTTTGAGACAAACAATCTTTTGGGACCTGTCTTGATATGACTCCCCATGTTGCTGCTACCTGTTGTTTAATTATTTAGTCTGGGATGTAGAAAGCTTGACCTAAGTTAGTAGAGCAAGATGAGTGTTATTCTTTTGAACATACCTTCTGCTGAGAGGAATGTATTCTCCTTAGCCTGGGCATTAGTGGGTAATACACCTGTGGCTTGACTACTGGGACTTACTTGAATTTTTTTACTGAATTACTACAGACATTTTCTGCTACAAACTGGGACTGCTTAATACAAAGTCAGAAATACAATTTTCTGGTTAGCCAGAAGACATATTGATTTTGGATTACAAATGCTTTGGTGTGCAAGGGAATGTCATGGCATTAGATCCCTCTGATTAAAATGCAGTATTCCCAACTTGCCTCATTTTCTCTGAGTCATAATGAATATGATCAGTCTTCCTGTTGAAAGCCCAGGTTATTAAGAGCTCTTTATGGAGGTGGCTTGACCATGTAACCCTGTACATTAAGTAAACACTAAAAAGGAGAGGTGGGCAGAGGTAAGCAGACAATTCTCCAGATTCATGTGAGCATTCATCAATATCTAATTACCAGGTAGGCCAGTAGGATTTGGGAGGGAAACAGCTGAGAAAAAAAGCTAGTTTTGTTGTGGTTTTTCATATGCCACTTCTGGCCTCCTTAGACTCAATCTTGTAAACCTTGGCTTGCTCTTGGAAGGCTGGCTAACAAAACCACATGGACCTGTGGACTGTGGTATGTGGGGTCTGAGGGAAACTGGTGTCCGCCTACATCTTAAATTGACATGGTCTTGAGCTGGAGCTCGATAATAAAACACTTTTAGGCCTAATAAATACATGTTTTCAATGTAATCTTAAGACCAAGTTGAAGGAAGCTTGTGTGTGGGTGTGTTTTTTTTTTATTGTTGATGCAACTACAAATTTTGTGTTGTGAAGTACTGTGTTTTATCTTGTCCAAAACAATGTTTTATCTGTTTCAGAAAGTTTCTCAATAGCTCTTTTTGGACTCCTCTTTTTCAGTTTAGTATGAAGACTTTCTCTATTAACTAGGACTATTAGTCTGTGGTGTTCCTTGAATAATAAATTGCAAGGACTTCACAGAAGAGGGGATGATTGCATTGCAGTACAGATAATGCATTTGTTTGTTACTTTATCTTGCTAATTACCTTGCTTTCTTATTACAATCAAAGATTTTTGTGGGTCAGTATGTTGATAAGTAAATGGTAGGAAAATCTAATTTTTTAGCAATTGCTGATTTGTTTTGTTAATAGTCTATATAATTTCTGTGAAACACTTTGAAAATCTGGAAATGTCCTTTGATTTTTTTTAATTTTTTTTTTAAGAAGATTTTATGCATACAGTTTTCACTTTTGTTTTAATGTATGCTTTTATGAAAATAAGTATTGGGGGGGATTACAATGAAGATCAATATAAAGAGGAATGACGACTCTATTGTGAGTGTTCTCATTTGGCACACCAGCAAGATTAGTCTTCTGTAATTTCATTTCTTTGTTCTCAAACCTGAAAAAGGCTTCTGTGTCCATGCTAACAAGGAAGAATTGTTAAAATGGCTGGATGCTAGAAAATAATAAAGTCAGTTGGGTTCCATATCTAAATACTTGTCTCGGAGCCTGTTAATTCCAAGAAATTTGCATTACATCCTAGTAGTAAGTCTATGTGAAGGCATACCAAGATCACCAGCAACTGCTTTACTGGCTTAAAACATGGTTCCTAATGTTACCTTGAGAGTTAAATGTAGGGCCTTTTCCACAAAAATACCTGATAGCAGTGGAATCTAAATATGAATGGACCTTTGTGGATTTGGGTTGGGATTCTTCAGGTTGAGGTCCTATGTTCCAAAATTCCTACCTTCACTGTAAGTCCTATCACCGCTCTGCAACATTGTCTTATAAATTGCTCTGCCACTTTTTTAAAAGTGTTAGGTACTTCTGTCTGTATTGTAATATCTCCCAAACACAGTGCATCTCTCATGCTATGAATTGACTGTCATTCAGAAATAAAATCAAGTTGGTATTTGTCTTTTGGAGTTTTTAAGCTTCAGTAATGTGTTCAATATGATGACCAAACCTGTCAAATATAATTTGTGGAAAAACATATGTGCTGTACCTGGTAAAGGAATTAATCTTTTCAAAGTAGTATAATAATTCAATATGCTGTATGTTTCAGTACCAACCAAGGTTTTTCTAATTGAAGCTTCAATATCTGGACTACTAAAAGCAATATCTAGATCTATGAAGAAATTAAATGGCAAATGAGGAAGTACAGTGCAATCTAAAAGATTCTGAACATAGCCTCCAGCAGGAAAACAGTAATTGCAGAAAGGCTGGTGTTCCTGGGGCGGAGTGGAATTTGCAGAATTCACTGATCATTAGAAATAAACTTGGCTTAATGTATTTTGGTCCACTTAAATACCCTGAACAACTTTTTATTAATGGTATCTCCTCCCAGTTCTTGACAGATAATTCCGAATTTGAAATAACTGAATTACTGCCTGTCCAGGTTCAGCATGCCTGTTGCTACAGGGAAACACAGTGCTCTGTTTCTTAGAACACTGATTATGCTGAGGATAGGATTTGTTCTGTTAAACTAGCATAAATCTGATGCCAAGCTGCTGCAGGCAAGTGCTCTTAATTGAATACAAGGTGATGGCAGAATTTGGCTTGATGTTTCCCAGTTGTGCGAGAACCTTTGTAAAGAGTACATGTTCAGTGGGAATTTGGGCTAAGTCCTGACATTAAATTTACAGCCCTGTATGTGAAAGCATACTTGTTACAAGTATTTGGGAATGTTGCTTTGTATTTTGAAAGACAAATATTTGTAAGGAAAGGTAAAGCCTGCTTCTGTGAAAAGTCCCAGGGTGAAATAGCAAATATGGCAGGAGAGCAAGACAGAGTTTGAATCCCTCTTAAGAGATTGAGTGAAACTTCCTGAGGACTTCTGTGAAATTGTACTTTTTTTAATACTATTTTTCCATTCAAAGGTTTTGGGGAATATCAGGAACTTTTGTAAAATTAATGGGTATGTGATCAGATTAGGTTTTTAGTGTAAACCTAGCTTTCAATGCTGTAGCATGCATCTTACTTTATTTTTTTTATCCCCTATGACATTATTCTAGGAACTCTGAGTGGACTTTCTGGCATTTCTCATGTATAAAATTTTCATTGTGCAAGCAGTTGTGGAATCAGTGTGTTTTTTAATTCTCCATAAATCAACTGAAGGTTTGGAAAGGTACATTTATGTTGAGATTTTCCTGACTATGTATTGTCTCCCTGAAATGCTCTAAGCTCCATCTTAATGAATTTCAAGTCCAGAAACGTTTACCAGGATACTGTATTTAGAAAAAGATCTTAATTTGGATTTATAGCAGAAATTTAGCTTCATGTCTTATTTATTTTTATTTATAAGGTCAGCATCTCAACAGGGTACTTGCCAAGGCTGTAGCACATTAAAAGTGTAGCTGAAATGGCATTGATAATGACTATGCTGTCAAGAAAATCTGGTTTTGTTTCTTCTTCAGTTGCAATTCTTAGTACATTTGAATTTCTCCTTTATAGATTTCTCCTTTATAGCTTTCCTTTCCCCAGTAAATAAAGATGGCTTTGTTTTTCATATAGAGTTCCTCACATTCTTTCTACATCCAGATATCCCTACACAGTATTTACATGCGAGTTGGATTTCTCTAACATGCTCATGTGTAGTTTTGTGCAATATTTCTGTCTTGTCTAAATTTTAGGAATAAACCTGGGAAATGTTGCTGGAGGTCAGTGCTCTTTGAGGTGGGGGGGGGGAGGAAATTACAACCAACCGTCATCATCATCTTCCCTCGCCCCAGGAAAAAAAAAAAAAAAAAGAAAAAGAAAATCCCAACTCCTGTCTCTCTTTTTGAGTGTCTTGTGTGGAAAGCCAACCAAATGTTCCAAGAACAGCAGAAGAGTTATTTCCTTTCTGAACCGCAGATGGCTCTGGCATGCATCTATCATCTTAGCCTCATTCAGAAAGGCAGTCTTCTCAGGAAATCAGGCTGAGAGAGCCATCGTAAAGTGAGCGTCTATTGCTCCTTGTAAAACACCATAAAGAACTATAGCATACTCTGCCTTATCTCTGGTTTTGTAAACCTTCTTAGGAAGCTGAAAGCTAATTTTATGTCATGTTTGCTGAAACCTGCCAGTCAACTCTCTTTTAATGACAATCCGGTTATCCCTGAAGTATCTGCGTAGGCACTTTTTATCTTCCATATGAGTGTTGGTGACTTGTACTAAAGCTTTTCAGGATGGACTGTCCAAGGAAAATAACTGTCCTATTTCCAAACTGTACATCTTTGATTCTGTCTATCATCTTCCCTCAAATCACTTCATCTCCCAATTTTGTCCCAGCATATTTAAACTTCTATCCGTAGCAGATATTGAACAGGGTATATAAGCTCAGTCCGTTATTTATTCTTAGACTGGCTTGCTAGAACTGAAAAGGAACTAGCTTTTTCCCTATAAGCCTTTTAGCCTATGCAGTGTATTAATCTTTAAGAAGAATTTCTAACGGTAGTGGAACTGTCAAGTGTTGCTCAATTTCTGAAATTTTTCATTTTTAAGCATTCATTTTTTCCAAATACTCTCTTATTTTTCTTCTATTACAGGTGTT